TGTACGGGTAGGGGCGTTCGGCCACCTCTGGTCGGCCGCCGAATGGCAGTACTTGGTGGCCGAACGGCAATCGGCCACCAGGACCGAACTATCATTACTCATTGCTCTTAACCCGTGATTAGGGGTTAATCAGATGATTAAGGTGTATTACCTGATACGGTAAATACGTTGCAAGGCCCATGGGGTCCAGGGCCCATAAATGTCAGTATAAATAGCTCAGGTCAAAAGGTAACGTCACTGTTCATTAATTATCCTAGATATTTGTGCTTGTCCTGACTTGAGCGTTGGAGTGCCTTTTGCAGGTACCAACCCCTCTATTCACATCGGATTGGAGCACTCGTTCGGCCTTCAGACTACGAGAAGATCATTGGTGTACCCCCTTTGTAGGTACAGCTTCTACATTTTTAAACTTTGGACGTTGAAAGTACAAATGTGTTTTGAGGTAGTTTATGAAGGAATAATCTAGAATAATAATTGATATTTTAACAATACTATAATAGGTGCATGATGCTGGACACATGGTCCCAATGGATCAACCAAAAGTTGCACTTCAAATGTTTAAAAGCTGGATGAAAGGGAATCTGGAGCAAACATCCTCTACATCTCCTGCAAGCTTTTCTCTGCGACCAAATTCAGGACCACTAATTACATTTGCTCTCCTCGTTCTTTATTGTGTACAATGACCAATCAAAGACACAAATATTACAAAAGTTTGTTTGCATAAATTTTTTACTAGAAATTGGCCTTAAGAAATTGGGAAATTGGCCTTAAGAAAAGGAGATAATTAATGTCTCTCATATTTGAATACTTACCACAAAACCAAAGAGAGAAAAACTAACTAATGTAATAAATAATAAACAGAGAATGATAAACTTAACAGTTCACAGTTTTATTTTCTCATAGCTAGTGACAGTTGTAACTAGTTATTTGTTGTATGTAGTTAGTGGAGTGTTATATGGAGTTGTTGGTGAATGATAACTAACTCTTCCCGTGTATAAAGGCCTACTATATATGGGCTATAAGTCACACAAGTTGTATCATTTTATTTATAAATTAACTTTCGTATATTAAAAGGAAACCAAAGTATTTTTAGGAGTTATTATTTGGTGGAAAGTTTGCAGAGTGTAACAATTTATCATGATCATTATACATGATGATTCTACTATAAGTAATAGAATTAAAAATAATCAATTAAAGACTTAAGGATATTACCATGTATCAAATGAGTCCTTAACAATTATTATAAACATGCATATTTACATATACCAACAACAAAATACATATATGTATATATAATTATACAATACTCCATATAATCAAAATACCTATAAGTATCGATCAAATATAACTATACAATGACTGCCAAGAGGTAGCCTTAAAAAGGAACATTGACTCCAACTCCACTATGACCTCTAATGCACATCTCAATAATCCTATTTATACTTTAGTTTCATACACATATGATCATCGTAATCCAAATCACATAAAAATACATAAAGATAAAATAAAGCTAAAAGAAAATAATATATACAAGAAAAGAATTCTAAGCAACATTATTTATCATCACATCTCATATTTACTAGCATCCACTACTCCAACATCATGCAGTACTATCAACACAAGCAACTCATTTGGGTTGAGTTTGAGTTCAAGTAAATGACACAATCAAAATTTTGAGCCAAGTAAGACAGAGACATTTAATATCTTTTGAAAATTATAAGACCAAATTCAATCATTTAAAAAAAGTGAGATCAAATGAAACATTTTAAAAGTAGAATGATTAAATTGAACAAAAATTTATCTAAGTTTTTTTTAAATTAATTTAAATTTTCTTTTATCCATTTAATAATTTTGTTATATTAGATAACTCCTTCATTTTGTGATATTTTTTAATTCCAAATATTCAATTTGTTCTATTTATGATATTATGATATTGTTAAGATAAATAAAAAAATCAATTTTATAAGAAAACGTGATAGATAAATTTTTATTCAATTTGTTCTCATTATTTTTAAAATAATCAATTTGATCTCACTATTTTTAAAATGTTTAATTGAGTCTTCTAATTTTAATAAATTAAACAAAATAATTTTTCAATGTTATACTTCATATAATTTTATTGATATTGTTAGAATTAATTTAGATGGAAGAATCACATAAAATAAAATAAAATTAAAAAAAATAAACTACAGTTTTTAAGAATAACAATAAAAGTAAATGAAGAGACGGAAAAATATAATCTAGGCATGTGTTGATAATAACTCGAACCAAAACAAAACATCACCTGTCATGGATAGTGATCACAATTATTTCGTGGACATGCATTACTTCATGAATAATATTTGGAGGGTGGAATTTATATTTTATTTAAATATTTATGAAAATCTTTATTGTTCGCCATTTTTCTATTTACTTTATACAAGAAAATGTCACTTCTAGAAAAAATAATTAAAAATCTCAGCATTGAAAATTTATTAGCGGACATCTAACTCTAAATGACACACAGAGATAAAAAGAAAAAAATATATTTGTATGATAAAAAATATGATGTGATATAAATAAAATTAAAAAAAGGTGTTAATGTGGCATTGGAAATTGAGTGTCCGAATACTCTATTCATGAGTATTATCTATTAATAGAGGATTCAATCATATGTGAATCGTAAATTACCAACAAAAATGGTCAAAAACTAAAATAAAAAGATGTTTTGTTTTGAAGAAAAAAAATTAATTCTTCATACATCAGTGCAAAAATAGCTTTTAACAGAAATTTTATGTTAATATAATTCACATAATATATAAAATGATGTAGTACAAAATTTTAATTATAGAAAAAATTTATAGTAGATATTAATTTATCTATCATAGAAAAAATTTTCTATATCAAGTTTTTGTAATGCATGAGTCAATATTTATCTCAAACTATATTGGGAAGAGTTAATTTTGTAATTGATCTCAAGCTTTCTATGACGAGTGTAATAACATTCGACATATGAATTTTTTTTTATGATGGATGAAACAACATTAACACAAAAAGGGGTTTAAAATTTTAGAAAACTCAATTCACATTTTTTAGCTCTAGACTCTTATTTTTTTGTTTCATTACCTTTTCCTTTTCTTTGTTCTCATCCTCTTCCTCGCATATTTAGATAAATTATTTTTTCATTACTTTTTTTTTTTTGCATTTTCTATTTCTAGTTTTGTTATCTTTCTGTTTTCTTTTGCCTTGATAGTGTGGTGGATTGAAAGCAAATACGGTGGTGGAAGTGACAAAATTATGATTAAAGTGACAAATGCAAAACGTAGTGGCGGCAAAATGTGAAGATACAAGAATGAGA